ATTGGGTCAGGCTTACCCTGGAACCATAAGCTCAGGCACACCATCACACTGTGGTGTGCTTTAAAGCCTACTCCCTCCTAGGGACTGAACCGCTTTGTGCTGTTAGTAAAATCATTGTGCACAAGTGAAGGGAGCATCCACTGTGCCAATATAACATTCTTGTAATGAAGCCGTTTACAGTGGATAGAAACGCAGCGCCTCATTCTGCATCCTGTTCGCAATAGTTGTGTGTGTCTAGAAACTGTCCATTTGAAGGGTCCAAACCAGCCAGTTTGACAATGATGCTGCATCTTGTCTAATTGAGTGTGTGCATTCTGTTTTTATAAATAAAAACCCAGCATGTTTTAGAGCTCGGAGGTTAGACAGTTCCATTTCTATTTTACTTTAATAATTCATAAGCCCACCATCAGAGTACGCCTGTGTTGTGTTTTGTTTTCGTTCGGTATTAATCCTGAGAGGAGAGACTCCAACTGGAAACAAAGATCACAGGCTGTGGCTGATTGAATTTGTCAGCTCCTTTGGCACCGGCCACAACTGGTCAAAATCCTATTTGTCTACATTAAGAAACAGTCACCTCAATCAGAGCTCTTATTTGAACGGCTTGATACAAAATATAATCTGGGACGTGAACTGTTTTAATTCATACTTGAATCTAAGATCCCAGGTGGATGTGCATTACCCAATTGATGTAGAGTTTCTACTGCATATGAACCATTATCTGGAGTCTTGAGAGTCCATCCTTCAGTTGACAACACTGTAATGCTATTAGAAGGGGAGCTCCTCCCAGGGTTCTTGACCAACAATCCTCCAGATTCTGGTCAGCACGGCAAAGGAGGCTTTGCAGAGCAGAGAAATGAGGATGAACGCAAATGTTTGTGGAACAGAGGGGACTTTATAGAGGTGTTTAAGATTTTAAACGGTATTGAGAAAGTAAACCCAGAAAAAAACTTTGAAATGCACTGAGACAAAGAACAAGGTGTAGTCCAACTTCAGGACAGACACAAGGAAAAATTTCTTTATTTTCTTCAGGGTAGTTAATGACCGGGGAAAAAAACTCAAAAGAGGAACGAACGGTCTTTGTTTCAGGTAGTAGGCGGCTTATTTAGTAATAATAATCCTTGCATTTGATTTAGCGTCTTATCATGTCATTGAGACGCCTCAAAGGGCTTCGCAGAATATATTGTAAAGTGAATTGACTGTATATTTTATGGACAAAATATTTAGTTGGCGTTCCAAGACTTTAGTCCCACGGAGAAGGGATTTAAAAGTTGATTATTTACAGTATCTTCCATTCGGTCTGACAAATATTAAAATAAATACATTATCTGCCTCGGGTGCCATGTAGCTTTTATTCAGAATTATGCACGTTTAATCATTTACTCCTGTAAGCTCTTTTTAGCATTATTAGCAATCATTTCCATTATGACTTAAAAGTAAAAGCAATATTATCTTGAATGTTAGACTAAAGTAATTTTGTATTTTCACATTTAATAACTCTGTGCATCAATAATTCGATGCCCAACAGCAGCTACTTATCATTTTTCTACATTTGTAATGTCTGCTGCAGTAACACTGCCCTGATTATTTCAAATCTTTCCAAATTTAGGCTAAAGGCCACAATCACACCGCCTTACATGCTAACATAGGAAAAAATTTTATCTAAGTAATGAACATCTTAAAATATTTTGCAGTGTACTTTAGCTTTTGTTATCTTCCAAGATAAGTCTATCATAATCCTTAGATTTGATACGGCACCTATAACAGTTACATTTATAAGATGTGAAAGGTTGCAATTTTTAACAATAATCCTTGCATTTAATATTGCACCAATAACATCAAAACAGTAGTGACTGTGAATTTACAGGTAAACATGGCAGCTCATATGCACACAGCATTTTACTAAAAGTATCACACAAGCAATCTTCATGAGGTGGTGAATGAGCGTTGTTCATCGATTGGCAGATCACTTTTCTGTGATAATCCCTTCAATTTTAAAAAAGATTTGGTTACTCAATCCACAGTTGTTTGTGAGACACTAGTGCGCAATTCGCTCCGCATTTTACCAACAGAATATACAGTCAATTCACTTCAGTGTATATTCTGTGAAGCGATTTGAGATGTCTCAAAGACCTGATAAGGTGCGATATCAAATACAAGAAGTATAATCTCTCTAGTCTTGGTTGACGTTTTGGATGTAGTCCCACTTGGTTGACAGCTGCTGCCCTGCACTCGGAATAATTCATGCATAACCATGTCCAGGTCAGACGTCAAGGCTGTAGAGGTTTTTGTTTTAAGTGCTTAATAATGATCAAAATCCATAATGTGAAGTTTTAAAATATTTAAGTATCCTTTTGTAATTACTTTTTTTCAAAAGCTTCAATTATTCAATTAAATGGACCGCGTTTGTTCCAGTACTGGAGAGCTGCTGATGTCTGCCCTAGTGAATTTCTGCCTCCAGAAAGGGCCGAGAGGACTGAACTAATAGCCGGGAATGAACCTGCAATGATTTCACGCAAAGTGTTTGTTGTTTTTACAACAAAGCCCAGTCGATTTGATGGGTGAAACCCCTTCGCAGCAGAGTGGAGAATGGGCTGTTTCATATTGCAGCATAAAACCCGGTTCAGTAAATCCGGAATTTCGTCCTCCTCCAGTTAGAATCGGCTCCCATTTATAAGTGCCATTTATCAACAGCCTTGTCCAGTTCTGTACAGGTAGGAAACACAATGTGGTATGTGATGTAATAATTATTACAACGATAGAAAACTAGCTCACATGCGCACACAATCTCACACACAAACTCACAAACATCCACATTTTTAAGTTCAGCAATGCAATTCAATCTCCTAGCCCCACTAGGGCAGGACAATCTGAGACGCACAATATACCAAGGTCACCAACAGCTCTAAGCAAACCCATCAGGATTGTGTTGGATTTAATGGATGTGCGTGGTGTTTCATCAGCTTCAAATAACACTTATATGATCATAGCACAGAAGGAGGCCATTCGGCTCTTGGTGCCTGTGCCGGCTCTTTGAAAGAGCTACCAACTAGTACCGCTCCCCCGTTCTTGAGAGAAATAAATCCGTCTTAAATTGTTTGGACTTTCTGATTGAAATTTTACCACAATCTCCTGTATGGGGACCCATAATCTGTGTTACTAGCGACACCGTTTGCTAGTAACTCCTGCCTATATTTTCAAATTTGATTTTAAATGACTCAGATTCATAGAACTGCATTAAATATAGTTAAGAAAAATAATTAAACTGTTTCAAACTTTTTTTTAATTTGACAAAGATTTGACGAATAGCAGGCAGGCACGTGTGAATCTGTGCATTCTCAGGAGGACTAGTTTTGTAATAAAGACAGCTATTGCTGAAGGCCATCTGGACACAGCAGCATTGGGCGAAGTCAAGGTGCAACAGAAAGGTTGGTGAAGATAGACAGACCGTGGAAGAGAATTGCAGTGAGGAAACCAGGGTAGGAGGGGGAGAGGAGTAAAAACACCATCTGGCGATCACCCGGCCAGCAGATTAAAATAGACTTTTATTCTATTATTAGAAGTTATTGCTCCTAAGGGAGCCAGCACAGACACGATGGGCAGAATGGCCGGCTTCTGTTCGTAAATATCTATGGTTCTATTTGAGTATCTTAGATGCTGATGTTCTAGAGAAGAGGCGAGCGAAGCTGCCACGGATCACACCAGAGGCCAGAAATTCCGCTAGCTGTCAGCTCGGCAGACCACATTGTCTTAAAATGTAAGACCTGCAAAATGGTGGAAAATTTCTAAATCCAGTCTTAATTATGACGCTAGTTTTCCGCAGTTCTTGAAAAGAAACTGCTTCCCAGTTAATACTGGATTTAAGGAATATTCCACAATTCTGCACTCATAAATTTAATGATAAAAGGGCCTCGCCAGTTAAGACCTGGTGGAATTTCAGGAGGGGTTTCAGATACTAACTTGAAGTACAGTTGAGAAAAGAAAATCTTGGGAGACACTCGAAACAAAGCGGACAAGTGTCAATGTTAAAGTTAATAAATCAATAACGACTGATTAAGCTTTTGAGTTTTACTCAAAATGACTTTTAAGATCCAAGAACTTACCGGGAAATCAGTAAAGTAGAAAATGAAGAAGTTTTAAGGCTAAGTTATAGAGTATTTTAATTGAGGTTTGATTTCTACCGTGACAAAACCAAGTCATTATTTGAACAGACAGCCAACAGAAACAAAGGCAGAATAAACTATAGCTGATTTGTCATTATATTTTGATGATCATCACCTAGAATCTTTATGATGGGGTAAGTCTGCCACTCAGAAGACAGTTGATGATAGATGTCACTAAAGGCCTTGTAGCTCTGGAGGGAGATAGCTACTGAAAGAATTCCAATCTGCCTTTCGGTTGCCCCGATAATAATGTGCATACTGGTTGGTGTGATTCACTTGGTGTGATTTCTTTGCAATTCTCCCTCTTAAGGCTTTTATGTTGGAGTTTGGTCCTTGCTGTTCCAATGTACAGAAGTGGTCCTGTATTCCACTGGGTGGGGGTGACTGTCATTAGTGTGCCTCCACTGTGTGTGTGCACACTTGCCTGAGTGTGTGTGTGTGCATGTGTGTGCGAATGAGTTTGTAGGGTGTGTGAGTGTGCAGATTTGTAAGGTGGGTGCATACCTCTTTACTATATGGTGATCTGGAAACGTATCAGATTATTCAGGCCTCTTAATTCCCTTTCTTACTCTTGATATTATTGGCTTTGGGCTTCTGATATCAATCTAACCCCACAGTAAAGATCTATTGATGATACGTTGAAGAGAAAATGTCTTTATTTGTCCATAGGTGTATAAAAGTGATTTCCCCGGGTAAAGGGATATACTATATTTCCATAAGAATCATTATTACTAAATTATATTGCTGTTCTGTAACACTAGTTTCAGTAGCTCTCAATCAAAGCGAATAGTTTAATTGCTTTAAAAATGCTTTTTGCTGAATGATCTGTTTTCTTTTTAGCACATCAAGTCCACCGCTTTGGCCAGCAAGTGCATTCTTCAAAAGAAATGGAGCCCTACAGGGTAAGAGGAACGTTACACAAAATTGTTGCTAGCACATTTTGATGACTTAAGCTGTACATCACCTCTGGAATTTCTTTCATGACATTGTATGGGTTTGTGACCTCTGTGTGTCTGTACCACAGCAAAGGTACATGGAGCTGAGGATAGTGACCCGTTTATTTGTTTGTCGCTGACGGAGAGGGGCAAAGCTCTGCAGGAAAGATCAGCATAACGTTAGTAAGATCGTTAACATGAATGAAATGTTTTTATTGTCTGCTAATAGGTGAAACATTTCAGTTCCTCAGTGCTCTGGTGCAATTCTGGAGAAGTGATATGACAGCATTTATAAACCCTGTCAGAGCGAATGAAAATCCTGGGGGACAAATGTTTTGTCCATCAGGTCTTGGGCTATTTTACTTACAATCCTTGCCTGGTAAAGAGCTAAACTGCTAGGCAGAGGAGCCCAGGCTAGCTACACAAGCTCCACAATTGTATAACATAAGCTTATTCTTGCTAAGTCAATGCACAGAGCAATTAGTATCAGCAGAGCACTGCCATCTCTCAAATGTCCCATCTTAGTGGCTGAAACTTGGCATTAGTGGGCATTTTATCTCTGTGATATGTTGTATGTCTGTGTTGATCCATTTGATGTTACTAGTGACATCACTGTGTGTTTTGGAAAAGAAATGGTGGCCTGATGGCTGAGTGTAATGACAAAGTAACCATGCTGCATTCATCGAGTTGGGTTATTGGTTCCCTCTGTTGTGGCACTGAATTGGTGAATTGCAATGAAAATGTAGGTGTTGGCGGATGGACTTGTTGAGCGCTATGAAATTATTTATCATGCAGGGCAGGCGGACAATTCTTACAGCTCACCAGGAGAAATGTGTTATTGTTGTGTAACCCAAGTATCTAAAACCTGACGTGTTTTTGAGGTTGAGGTGAATTGATGCCTATTGTGCTTTTTCTAAACAGTGTGTCTGAGATTTTGGTGGGCTTCGAAACCTTTTCCTGCTCTATTGAGTGCTGAGCCTTGTCGTACAAAACCCCTGTTTCAGAAATGTCTACTTCTTCTATAGCAATACACACTACACATGACGCATCGAAATCCAGCACTTTGTGTTTCAGTATCACAGATCTGCTCTCCCAACATGTCAAATGACCACATCAAACCACTACCTTGTGCACAGCGTTAGATAACATACTGCGTGACACAATATTACAGATTATGCACCGCATTGTCGGCTACACGCAGCTATACCTGCAATCTACAAAGCAGTGATGAATAGCAGAAATCGCTTTGCTATGAAATCATGTTTAAATAAAAGTTGCAGTCCCCATGTGAAATATGCAAAAAGGAAAATAACTAAAAATTGTTTCTTGTCAAATTGCTTCTTTTTTAAGAGTTATTTGGCACATTTAAACTAGGTACCAGCCACCAACTGCACTCTGATCATTGGGCGAGATAAGCAGGGTAACAGTGCTGCAAACATGACTTGTTCAGGTGGTGTGGTCTGGAAAGTGCCAGTTCACATCGAGTATGTCTATCCGGTGCTTAACTCAGTGTTTAACTGCACTTAGCTGTACAATGAACAGGCTCTCAGCAGTCCGTCTGATTCACTTACTTTTTTATGTTTGAATCGGCTCGATGCTAGAGGATTGAGGGAGTATTTGTGGTCTTGTCAGAGTTTTTTACGTAGAATTTGTTAGGTAAACATATTGTGTGTGTTTTGTATAGTGGAATATTCTGCTTTTCAAAGTGAGCAAGGAGATAGTCTTTATTTCTTGCCTTTTTCCTGTATAGTGAAAGTGCCCTGTCTTTTGCTATTTGCAGTCGTTGGGGATTCAACATCTCTGCCCCCACACTCTGGGACTCAATCCCGCAATCCCTCCACCTCACCCCCTCTCTTGCCTCCTTCAAGTCCTGTCTAAAGACCTTCCTCTTCGACCATGTCTTCTTCCACCATCCCACCCCACATCCCCCCTGCCCTCCACACTCCTGACCCCAACTCTCAGCTCAGGTCCCAAAACCCTGATTTTCCAGTGCCTTGGGACGTCTTTACGACATGAAGGGTGCTAAACAAGTGTAACTTGTTGGCGTGATTGTTGATGTACCTTATATCTTTGAAACGTTTCAAAGTGCTTCACAAAATATATTGGAATTGAATTGACTGCTTTTGTGGAAGAAACGCCAGAATAGGCCCTAAAAGGTCATTAATAGTCTGGCCAAGCATTTCGACTTTTAAAATCACTGCGCTGCCGACAGAGACGCCACATATCTGCAGCAGCGTAAAGGAGGCATTTGATTCTGCAGACAGAATTTCGCGGGGTCAGAAAACAGAAATGTGGAGCATTTGGAAATTAAGTCTTAATTAATTTGTGAGCTTTGTTTTGAAAGAACTGACGTAATCTGGCTTCCAAATTTAATCAGATTTCTGCATCATTTTAACCCTTAAGACCAAATAGTCTTACAAGATAAAGACTAGGTAGAATTTCAGACGCGCAGAGGCCACCTGCCCCTCCCACCACCACCATCATGTAGCTGCCAGCTTGCCTGACTCGGGCATGTTGTTTAGTAATACTGCAGCAATACCTACAACTACGGGCATTGGTCACACTGTGGTTTTGCTCCACCACTGGATAGTGCTTCATTGACAAGCTGTTCTAGAGATTTTCTTTACGTACAGACTAGTTTGTTTTCTTCACACCCTCCCCGCCGGGTATTTTGGGCGGGCGGGCGGGGGGTTGGAGGAGGAAACCTCTGAAATGCAACCCGCTTGTGAATCAATCTCACTGCACACTGTTTGCATGGTTGCCATGGTGAGAAATGTGCGTGATCCACCAAGGTCAGGCGGCAGCACATTCAAATGCACTACCCACCCATTCACCTGGCACCAGGTGTACTTTGATACACAAGGTTAGCTGCAGCTTATCAGTGCACTAGCCGACAGGTATAAATATAAAACTGCTTCAAAAGAATCGCTCGTAGGAAGTGTTTCAGGGTTCCAACAAAAGAGAAAGACTGTCCAGTTTTTTTTAAATTTAAAAATGTTTATTTAGTTGTGCAATATATAATGATGAGAATCCTTGCATTTGATATATCACAAGGCATCATCGAGACGTCTCAAAGTGCTTCACAGAATATACAGTAAAATGAATTGACTGTATATTGTGTGGCCACAGCAATGTCCCACAAACAATTATGAATGTAGTGAGCTATATAAAAAAAACAACATACATGTTTTTTTCGTTGGAGGGATTATTACCCCCGAAAAGTGATCTGCCCATCAGCTAACAACTGGGTTCTTACTTGCTGCTAGGTGTGTGGAGTAATAAACGTGGCTAAGATTTTGCTCTGCCTGAAAATCGAATCCAGGTCCTTGAGTTAATAATAATAATATTTGCATTTGCCTTATCATGTCTTCGAGACGTCCCAAAACGCTTCACAGGATATAATGTAAAGTAGATTGACTGTATATTGTGGGCAAAACGCAGCAGCCAATTGCGCGCAGCAGTTGAGTAAAGTGCGAGTGTGGATCTCAGTGTGAGTGCAGCAGCACCTCACTGTGAAACAAGTGATTAGCTGTGTACCATCTCATCCCACGCTCTGTGGACATGATTCACAGGTAGCATGATCAGGCATGACGAAGCAATGTGATGCCAATTTGCCCGCTCTCTCTGCTTAGCGGGCTTCAGCCTGCTCCACATCCCCCGCCATTGGGAGGCAGGCCTTCAGCCTCTCTACCACCTCTCTTTGGAACTCAATCCCACAGTCCCTTTGCCTCGCTCCCTCCCTTGCCTCCTTTAAGGCAGGTCTCAAGACCCTCTTTTTCGATCGTGCCTTTGGTCACCCTCCTTCCCCTGACTTTGGCTACCTGTTTATAATACCTTGTCTTTGACCTCAATTTCATGTCTGTTCTGGACTGAAGTGGCAACTCTGCTCAACTCGCACGAAGGGTTCAGGAACCAAGGATCAAATTCCCAGCTGACTACACAATGCCACCACCATTTTGTGCCCCAACGCCATTGTTGCCATGCTTCAGACAGTGTTATTTAGTTTGGCTGATGGCTGATCCCAACTTTGTGCAGTTTTTCTACATTTTGACGTTTTGCCTTGAAAAGCTTAGGCAACATTTTGCAGTTTTCCTCACCAAATAGTCTTATCCGAGCAGAAAATGGGCACCTAGAGTTGCCCGAGGGTAGAGAGGCTTCGGAAACGAGAGACAGGCCAAGAGGAGCAGGCATTTTCTCGTTTCAGGAAGATGGTCTGAAATAACATGTCACATCTTGTTTAGAAAGATGTCTCTATTTCAATTAGCCAGTAATCTCCCTGAATGCCTACTAAGTGTATTATACTGGAGTACCGAAATCTATCCATTAGCCCGCTTCATCAATCGAAGCCATTTGGAAATGTAACAAATAACCTTTGTTTTATTCTGATACAGTTTCTTTATAATAATTATAATAATCTTTGCTTCAATAACACGTCTTCTCATGTTGCTGAGACGTCTCAAGGTGCTTCACAGAATATATTGTAAAGTTGATTGACTGTCTATGTTGTGGGTGAAACGCAGCAGCCAATTGCACAAAGGAATATCCCATAAACAGTTATGAATTGAGTGACCAAATTTTTTTGTTTGTTTTATTTGTGAAGCGTTTACTACCCCCAGAGAATCAACCAACAACTTACTTACTGCTCGGTAAACAGAGGTGTGTGGAGTAAAGAAACTTGTCTAATGTTTTGCTCTGCCCGAGAGTTGAACCCAGATCTTCTCACTAGCGAGGCGAGTGCTCTAATCAAAGCGCTCCAGGACTCCCAATATTGAAAGTTATCCTCTCACTATTGCTCCCTTACATTTGCAGCACTATTAAATCAGATGCACCGTAATTTTGCCACAGTGCCATTACTGGGGAAGGAAGCAACTGTTTAAGATCTAGTCAATGTACAGTATTTATGCCCAAGTTCCTTTATTAGTGAGTCTGTCTGGTAAATGATTACTCAAGTGTAAACACAGAACCTT